TCTTGGTCTGGGGTATTACAGATTTGAAGAAAGCATTTCTTGTAGAATTAAATTAATCTTTTAATTCTCATACAAATATTGTTGCTTATATATGCACGTCAAATCAGAATATAATATATGCACTACATTTTACCAGCAAATTCTTTGGAAAAAAATCAGTAAAAATTATATGAACTTGTGTCTCTTATAATTATAAAGAGAGAGACTCTGGTTATAAAGTTACAAATAATCAAAACTGGAAAGCCATCTTACATAGCTTTCACTGATACCGAGCCCCTAATCGGAGATGCTGCCAAGAATTAGGTCGCCATGAATCCCGTTAACACTGTGTTTGGTAAGTTTTTCGATTCTTTCTTCTTCCATAATTCCATTTAAGAGTAAATGTTGTTTGAAATTTTTGGAGGGTGTCTAATTTAGCAAGTACAATAGGTAATTTTTGCATAGACTTATGTCTTAAAGTTAATCGTTTGATTCTTCGGATTGTGATATTTCGGAGTTCAACCCGAGAGCTCTTAGGAGATTGAGAACTGCTTGTGAGAGGGCAAAGAGAACGTTATCATCAACTGCCCAGACTACTATTGAGATTGATTCTTTGTACGAGGGTATCGATTTCTACACAACTATTACTCGTGCTAGATTTGAGGAGCTTAAAATGGATTTGTTTAGGAAGTGTATGGAGCCGGATGAGAAGTGTCTGAGGGATGCTAAGATGGACAAGAGCAGTGTCCATGATGTTGTACTTGTTGGTGGGTCAACTCGTATTCCGAAGGTACAACAATTGCTACAAGACTTCTTTAACGGAAAGGAGCTCTGCAAGAGCATCAATCCTGATGAAGCTGTTGCGTACGGTGCGGCTGTTCAAGCTGCGATCTTGAGTGGTGAGGGCAAAGAGAGGGTTCAAGATTTGTTGTTATTGGATGTTACTCCTTTGTCTCTTGGTTTGGAGACTACGGCGGTGTTATGACTGTTCTTAATCCGAGGAATACAACCATCCCAACTAAGAAGGAACAAGTTTTCTCCACATATTCAGACAACCAGCTAGATGTCTTGATCCAAGCGTACGAAGGTGAAAGAACCCGAACCAAAGATAACAATTTACTTGGGAAGTTTGAACTCTCTGGCATTCCACCAGCACCTCGGGGTGTTCCTCAGATAAATGTCTGTTTCTACATTGATGCCAATGGCATCTTGAATGTTTCGGCTGAGGACAAGACAACATGTCAAAAGAACAAGATTACCATTACAAATGACAAGGGAAGACTGTCCAAGGAAGAAATTGAAAAGATGGTACAAGATGTGGAGAAATACAAGGCTGAGGACAATGAACTAAAGAAAAAAGTTGAGGCCAAAAAATCTTTGGAGAATTACGCCTACAACATGAGAAACACTATCAAGGATGAGAAGATTGCTTCCAAACTTCCTGCTGCTGACAAAAAGAAAATTGAGGATGCTGTTGAGTCGGCCATACAATGGTTAGAGGGAATCAACTTGCAGAGGTTGATGAATTAGAAGACAAGATGAAAGAACTGGAGAGTGTTTGCAATCCAATTATAGCAAAAATGTATCAGGGTGGTGCTGGTGGTCCTGACATGGGCGGAGGCATGGAGGAAGATGGCCCTTCTTTTGGTGGCACTGGTCCAGGCCCCAAGATTGAGGAAGTTGATTGAGCATGAAATTTCTTTCTTCCTTCCTTGGATGATTTAAGTGTTCATGTTTCAACTCGTCTTTATTTTGCTTGGCAAAAACATAGTTATCATTCCATATATGTTTGGTTTTGTATTGTTTTGGTGTTTACCTTTAAATGGTAGTGGATTTTGTATAGTCTATGATTTCTTGCTTTCGGTTTAGAAGTTAATTTGGGCAAGTTCATTCTTAACCTTTTAGATGTTAAAGAGTTTACTCTGCACAGATACAACACTGTATCGTCTGGAGAACTTTCACCAATATAATCGAACTTACGACTTGGTTGTATTATACTACACAAAGCAATAAATAAATTAATGTTCGTATCTATGGGGAAATGATTTAGAAGAAAAAAAAGTAATAAATAAATTTAATTATTATTATTCTCCTACATCATGCTAGAAGATAATAATATTTATCCTTGTACTTTCTAGCCTATATACAAATGAAAAGTTTTTGAATTGTGTGTAATATTATTTTATTGAAAAATGTGTGGTTGAAAAGAAGAAAGAAATAGTTATATTTTGAAAAAAAAATGGAGATCAAACAAGGTCGTAATTTTAAAAGTTCAATAAGTAGGAGAAGTCACGTGGGACTTGTAGTCTAGTAATTTATAGAGTATGATATTTATAGTGGTACTCCTAGTGATATGAAATTTTGGGCTAATTATAAAAATGAATAATCAAAATCATTTTTCAAATTTTGTCCGAGAAATCTTGCCTCTTAAGATTATGTGATAGGATCAAATATAACAATAATCAATATTTTTGACAAAATTAACTTCTTAGATATAGAAATTCGTGAAACAACATGCTACAAGGTATGTTCTTTATAATTAACAATACTGTTTTTAATTGGTTGCCATCCGAGAGAGGTTCTAAGTTTTCCTTGATTCAGTCCTCAGGAGTGTATGATTAAAGTTTATGATCAATTCCTCTTTTATATATACATTTTATTAAATAAAAAATTTATCTGCATTGTCCATACTCCACAGTATTTTCGCTCATGTGATGTAGCCAAGGCTATCTACAAAGGAAGAAAAGGTGAAATGTACATAACCAGAAGTGACACATTGAGGTCGAACCTCCATGTTCGAGGCGAACTGCAACTTCATACTTTCGAAACAATGAGTCTTTGTTCCACATGACATCTTTCAAATCATCGATTTGTTTAAAAGATCATTTGTACATCTGATTGATTTGACATCTTTGCACATTTTTGTAGCTTTCGTTCATGGTCCATTTCACACCAAAATACATTTATATAAGTTGAGTTGATTAATTGTTGAAGTTCCCATGATTACATTCTCCACGGTGGGAGAAAGTCATATGCACCTAACACTTGTCCAACTGTGCTGCAACTTGACACGAGGATGAAAGTAGGAACTTCTTATGGCCATGCTATCCAGTTGAAAATCGAGATCAACATGTTTCTCTCTATATTTTATACTCTCCCCACCTGAATAGAAATAAGTAACTTTTTTTTTTAACAATACTAATTGTAGAGGCCCAAATCACACGATATTAAAACAAGATATCAAAGAATCAATCTCAGAACAGAAAGTAAAAGTTGCAGAAAGTAAAAATGAATACAAGATATGTTTTGG